TTAAAAGAGAAAAATAATTTTATTTTAAAACATTTAGGCTAGCTGGGCGTGGTAGCGCACACCTGGAGTCCCAGCACTCAGGAGGCTGGGGTAGCAGGATCACTACAAGTTCAAGGCCAGCCTGGGCTACATAGTGAGTTCAATGCCTGCCTGAAGGACATAGCGAGATCCTGTCTCAAAAAACAAAATACCATTTAGTGTAGGTTTTTATTCAGTGCAACAATGAACCTCAAAAAATCCTAAGTTACTGCAAAACTAGGTATGATGGTTTCTCTGGCCTCGGCTCCATTTACTAGACTTGGCATCAAAAGAGTTGTCTTTCGCCTTTCATGGTAGGCTGGTTTAAGAGAGCGCTGATATGATAGTCATAATTAGGTCTTGGAGAAATTAGATCAAGAAATTACTGGCTGCTTCCAGTTGATAAAGGGAAGGACCACACTTCCTTCTGACAGTCTCCTTAAAATATTTATACTGTTTATGCTACCGTTTTCTCCTAGCCAAACAAGACCTCCCTGGCCTCTCTAAACAGCCAAGGGAGAACTGTGCACGCATCTCCATGGCAACAAAGAATCCATCCTATCCCCTCGCACTCTCACCACCAAGAAAGCTGACTGATACCACGAGTTGGAAAGAAAGCATAGACTTATGGACAGTTCTTGGTGATGTAAGATGTGGGTGACTTGAGGGAATGGATTCATTACTTTGGCTGAGCTGACAGATCATGCAGAACTTTATGCTTGATCTTTATTGTAGTCTTATATTCTCTGGAATTTTCCACTGCATTATACCACATCTGACCACCACATGGACAAGAACCTGGGTGTCTACTATTGTCTCTGAGTGGCCAGGGCAGGTCTTCATGGGCACGGGCTGCTGACGAACAGAAAATCTCATGGTTGTAACTGCTAAACTTATCTTGTTGGAGGTGTATTTTAGGCTGTAAGAGATTTACAGGAGGCAGGAATGATGAGCTCTGTGAGGTCATGGTCCCAAATAACAGCAATCCTAAGACCTGCTCTAAAGGTCTGGAACCCTAGAAAAACTTGGGGAAGAAAAAGCCACAGTACGATGGAGATATTAGTTTTCCAAAATGTTGGCCTTGAACTGTGAAATCCTGTGGTTAGTGAATTTGATTCTAATAGTTCAATATAAAGTTATTTTCAATTAGGGATGTTGTTTACATTATTCCATGCCTTTTGCAATAATAATATTGAATATTTGAACATGTATTTGAAACATCTCTCCCCACAAAAAAGCTTTCATCTAAATCAATGGAAGTGAGCTGGAACTTAAAGCAATATTTACTAAAGAGTAGGGAAATATATACTCCTAATGAAGGGAATTCCATTTAAATTGGCACAAACTTCCCAAAGGTGACAGTTGACAAAACTATGTCCAATCATTAAAGAAAACCCACAGATTTAACTTTGTGTTGAAAAACAAAACATAACAAAGCACAATATAAAACTTCAACTAAAAGAGGCTTTTTCCCAGTTTGTAGCATCACACATGTGACTGAAATACAGAAACTTGCACCTTGGCAATTCTGGATCTCTAATTTGGCTGCTAAAATATCTATTGCCCCACCACTATCCCTCTCAGGTAGTAAGCAACCTGCTCAAGGATACTTCCTTTTCCGTAAAAGACAAGACTGCCTTTCACCTCACCTCATCAGTCTCCTGAGCTTCCAGGGCAGCCCCCTGGAGAGACTTAGAATGACCCAGAGGCTGCCCTCATAGGCACTGACTGCATAGACCTGCATAGATGAGCCTGCTCTACACGCTCGATTCCTTGCTTGCTTCTCTTTCTTCTTTCCAGGGTGAAATGGGTCCAAAGGGTGAGCCTGGGATAGCAGGACACCGAGGACCCACAGGAAGACCAGGAAAACGAGGGAAGCAGGTAAGGACCCCAGGTTACCACCCCCACAGGTCAGAACCCCTGACCTGAGGGCATATGGAGAGTTGGCTGTAGAGTCAGTCAGAGACATTCCATAGCCGAGACCCCGCATCCTCTAGGCTGGTGGATAGAAGCAGCACCACTTGCAGAGCTCCTGGGGAGGATGCTCCATTCGAGCTGTGCCTGCAGCCAGAAGCAGGACTCAGTCTTTGGTTCATAGGAACAAGTCTAACTTAGCCAAAGCAACTGGGAGTTGAAGGAAACTATGATCACTTATCCAGAAAATGTTCCTTTTGCCTTAGCGTCCCAGACACAAGAGGAATTTTAGAGAACAGCCCAGATAGTTCCCTGCTGTTGAAAGGTTTTCCCCACATAGGCCTCCAATTTGTAAATGATCTTTTTTATTGGGCTTACTAAGGATTTAGGGAAATTGCTCATTTTGATCTTTCCTGATCGATCAGCAGGCCCCTATGTTAAGCTGGTGATGTGAAGGAAAAGGAAAGAGGAAGCCGTGTTTTCCAGGGCAGCTCTGAGTGCTTCTGAGTGCCTCAGAAAAATTTCCAGTCTCTTTTATAATGGCTAGGCCCTCCTGAGAGGAGCTCTTTCCTTTTTTTTGACTGTCAGTTTGTTGGCTTTTTATTTCAAAGAGATATTTTAAATTCAACTTTATTTAAATATTTTAATTTTTTTAAATGATCTATATGAATATGAATATATGCACTACTTGCTTTTTAATGCTAATGCCTTTAAATGTTAGAAGAAAAATAATTTGAACATATATTAAAATATTTGTGTTTATTTTATTTTTAATTAACAAATAATTATATATTTGGGGGTACACTTGATATTTGAATATGTACATACATTGTGGAATGATTGTGTCAGGCTAATTAACATACCGATCCCCTCATATATTAGTTATTTCTTTGTGGTAAAAACATTTAAAATCCATTCATTTTGTCAGCTTTTTACTTCTCTTTCCATTATAAATACATATACCATCACAGGGGCCAGGGATTTAGCTCAGCGGTTTCACCGCCTGCTGCACAAGCTCAAGGACCCAAGTTCGATCCCCAGTACCAAAAAAAAAAAAAAAAAAAACCTCAAACATATACTATCACAAAAAACTTAGAGAATTCAGAAAAAATAAGAGAACTCATCTAAAGACTCAACACTCAAGTATTGTACTGTTGGTCATTATGGTATGATTTGGTATATTTCCTTCCAGAATTATTTCTTATACTTCCAAGTTGTTTCTTTTATATCTAATATATAGTTATTTGGTCCCTAATTTTTTATCTAAAATCACAATATACAGTTTTTCTTGTTACTATAGATATTAGTAAATGTTTGAGAACATCTTTTAAAATATCTGCATCATGTTTTGGTAAGTGAGTAAGGAACACATTGCTTGGACAAGAGAGGTCTGACCAGATTGCATATGATGCTAAAAGGTGAACATCTTGGATGCAAAATTTTTCCCATTCTTCTAATGATTTCTTTGGGCTAGATCTGGTATAGATGCACCCAATGCACAGCTTTGCCAACTTTAGCTTATAGAAAAACCATGTGAGTCTTGACTGAATACAGATTCCCACTGCAGGTACAGTTGTCACAGTCCCACTTTGCTGTGCTTCATCCCAGCACACAGGCTTACTTCCCAAAGACTGATGCAATTGACCTGAAATGGGCCTTCACCAGGATTTTTGTTATGTTTTGTTTTCTAAGGTGCCCAAGTCATTCTAATGTACAGTCCGGGTTTGGAACTGTGGTAGCACTATGATGCTAATCAGTCTTTTTGCAAGTAAATTTAGGAATGACAGAGGCTCCAATTTGGTTCACAATAACTTCTGAAGTGACAAAATTCCAGTCTAATTTTCAAAATTCAATAGTTTCAATAGGTGATATGGTCATGGCTTCACAGTGCTACCACAGACACCAATTTCCTTAAAGCTAGGCTCAGGAAAAGGAGAGGAAGTAGTTTATCATGTTCTCCCCTGCTGATGATTTCCATCCAGAATATTTTATGCTTTGAGGTACAAGAAGCCTGTTGGGCACTGAAAGTATAGGTCAGTGGTAAAGTGCTTGCCTAGCATGTGCAGTGCCTGGGGTTTCATCCTAGTACAAGGTAAAAAGAAAAGAAAAAGCCTGTGGCTTCTGTCTTCTACTTTTTCTCTGACAGTGTATGTCTTTTCCTGGGACAGCCAAAGCCAGGAAGCCTATTCTTTGACTCTGCTGACAATGATTTCTCTGTAGTAAAAGCTACACCAAAACCACATCTGTGAGCTCAGAGCAGCTAGGGGAATGAGGCCATCTTTCCTACAGAATGTTATAAACAACCCGAATGTGCTCCCAGCCCTCACTCAGTCAGCAGATACTTGAGTTGTTAGCTTTGGAAGCCTTACCATGGTACTTTATTTTTGTCATGAATTCATTTCCTAACATAGAGTCATATATCCAATGCTTGTTGAGCCTGTGATACTAATAATTTCTGGAGGTTAGTATAAGTCAATCCAAAACCCAAAATTAAAAATGCAGAAGGGATTTCAGACAAGAATTTCCAAACCAGAAAGATTTTTAGAAACCATTTAATCCAGTCTCCTCAGTTTATTCACAAGAAAATTGAGGAGCCGGGAGGTAGAGCTGTTAGCCCGAGACCCCTCTGCTGAGCCCCTTTTGGAGTTAAGGTTAGAATTTAGAGTGTGGTGACCAGCTTTTCCCATTTCCTCTCCTATTACCTTCCCGCTTCAGGACTTGCTTTTGTGCAGCCCTAGGCAAGCACCTGTTGTCTTTTTCATAAAAACCTTCAGTTACAGAGACAAAACCACCTCCTAGAGAGAGATCTTCCAACTTTGTAGCAAATAAGAAATAAAGAATGATTTTCCTGGAAAGTACAGCCCAGGGAGTCCTACTGATAGAGACATGGCTCCTTCTGAGCAGATGATGGATAAGTGAAGATTCCTTTACTGCTGGGTGTCAGAATCAAGGAAGATTTCTACCTCTGTCAAGCGACAACAGGAAGACTTCCTGTTGTCAGACCCAGCTGAGCTGGCTGTCAGAAAAATAAGGCTTAGCAGTGTCTATATTAAGCTGGTGTGACTTCCTTTGCCATTCTGGGGTCCATCTTAGTTGCTTCATGAAATGCTTCAGCTTAGACTGAGGCCTAAGAATGGCCCCCATAAGGACAGAAGTGGAAACAAACTGACCACACAGGTCCCATAGTAAGAATTTAAGAACTCCTTGGGTATTATCGAGAGGGCCTCCAAGGCCGTGTTGACCCGGCAGCAGGTCACATGTCACCTTCCTGATTGGAAAGGAGTCTCTAATATTCCTGTGTCTCAGACTTGGGGAAGATTATGTTTCATCAGGTGGGCAAGCTTGCCAGGCACAGTGTAGTAAGGATAGCCAGGCCAAAACTCAGCGGTGAATCACTGTCCTGATTAAGCCTAGGGCAAGGGTAGTTAGTTAGCAAATTGCTCAGGGGAAAAGCCTATAGTAGTACACACCAACACTTTCCCCCAGGGTCACTCCTAAGGGCCCCCTGCTGGGGACAGAGAGCTTGATTTGCTCTAGACGCTCCCAGAGTAGGCAGCAAAAGGACTCCCCTAGGGGAATGGCTGTAGCTCTGTCCCCCCCAGCTAGCCCTGATCCTTACTTTTAGCAATAACAGAAATCAAAACTAAAGCACAAATTTACAGAAAAAAAAGGTTTAATTGGAAAGTTAGGCCGGAGATTTAGCTCAGTGGTTTCGCCTCCTGCTGCGCAAGCGCAAGGACCTGAGTTCAATCCCCGGTACCAAAAAAAAAAATGGTCTTAATTGGAAAGTAAGAGGGAAGATAGGAAAGGACTCCAGTTTAGGTAGCTAAAGGTGGCAGACTCTGATACAGGAGTTCAGACTGGCCCACCCATGAAGGCAGAAGGCCAGTTTTTAAGGGTTAGCTGGTGGGCTGGGGTCCAGTGGGTCATTATCTCACTCCTAGTGTCATAGTTCTGGAATCTTTATGGCTGGGAGATGGTTTTGGTCACAGGTGATTGAGTTTAGAACAACCAGATTCAGGACAATGACTGGAGAAAGGTAGTTGGATATCCCTGGAAACTGCCCATCCCGGGGTCTTTAGTCTTGAAGAGGGTAATATTATGTAAATTCAGGCCTAATCGACCTTGTTTTGCCAATGTTTAGACAGATACTCCCTAAATTATTAACATATCTATATGTAGACCTGAAAAGAGATTTGACCCAAATTTTAACAGTAACAAAGGACACAGAATGGAGATCAAACTTTGTTTTGCTTTTAGTTATCTATTGGGCATCTGTAGGCCCAAGTAAAGAGTCAAGATTTGTACCAAAAATGGCTTTTAAGTCTCTGGCTATCCTGGGAGGAAATCCAAACCATGCTTTTAATGATTCTCCCTGTTTCCGCATCCCTATAGTGTTCCCTATTTTATTATTATTCTTGTACAAATAAAATGGGCTGTATGAACCAAGTAGGTCTCTGTTTACTACTTAAGTGAGTGTCTCTAGTTTGTTTTGAGACTTTGAGGTTTTTTCAACCCCTTACCAATAGTTTGATCTCTATGTGGGCCCCAGACCTTAACCATGGCTTGTGTGGATCTTATCTATAGCTAGTGATTAAGTGAAGAACAATCACATTTTTGCTTTCCAAGTAGCCCCCAGCTGCCTGACTCCAGCCTGCTAATGACTGACTTTCTGCCTAACTTTATGGCTGCATCAGTTGCAGTGTGCCTTTAATTAAAAAATCAAGTCTTCTTTCGCTGTGTGAAATGAATCCAAACCGTGCTCCACCATAGCCCTTCATCCTGTCCAAACCACATTTTCATGTCTGTGATTGTGGTTAGTCTCACAACGACCTATGTGGGAGTTAATTTACTAGATCCGCTTGACCAAAGTCAAAACCAAGGCTCAAAGCAATGAGAGAGTTCCACAGGGTCTCACGGTCAAGGTGAAAGCTCTTGCTTTACAGATCAACAAGATTCCGCCCCTTTGTGCCCTCTGCCTCTTTCTCCTGTCTCTTTTGATCTAGGGAGGAGAGGGGAGCACAGTAGATTCCAGCCCACAGGAAGCATGTGTCTCAGAGGGGACATTGATGAAATGACCCCTCAAATAATCTCTACACTGCAGTCTGGAAGAAATATTGTGAAGGAAAAGCTCCAAATGAGGGGAGCCTCTACCAGGGAGAAGGACCCACTCAGCCTGGGACGGTCTAGGAGTTCTTTGCTGCAGCACATTTGAGCTGAGAGCTGAAGGCAGAGGGGAGGGACGAGGACATGGGGCAGAAAGAAGGTTTGGAAAGATAGATAAGAGTTTTAGTGTCCTTGAAGATCAAAAAGACCATAAAACAACAGACACTGGGGGCCAGGGATTTAGCTCAGTGGTTCCGGCGCCTGCCTCACAAGCATAAGGTCCCGAGTTCGATCCCTGGTACCAAAAAAAAGAAACTAAAGAAAACAATAGACACTGGGAAGCCTGGCCAAGTCTAGCTTCGTGGGCGGAGTAAGGAGCTGGGTCTTTATGCAGAGAGCAACAGGAAGCCAGTGATTGGGAACAGCTCTTGAGGTGAAATAAAAATAATCTTGACAAGCGGGCAGAAAGCCTAAATTCTAGGCTTGACTCTGCCTCCTCGATGCTAGAGGTCTTGCCCAAATCCTGGCTCTCTTCTGGACCTCCATTTCCTAATTCATGCCAGGAGAGCTGGTGAACGGGTTCTGTTTGATGTTTCTAGGACAGAACAAGAACTAAAGCCTACAAAGTTGGCACCATCACTGTTTCAGATGTCATCTGTCCCGAGCCTTTTAGGAGCGTGGTAGTCAAGACTTCTGGGGCTGCATTGTGCCCTGAGCTTTTGCTCCTAAGTGCTGAGTCGCTCCTGATTTAGAGAGCAGTAGGGAAGGAAGTTGGCCAGGTCATGGTCTCATAATGGGCTCTGCCTTTCTTTCCATCAGGGACAGAAGGGAGATAGTGGAGTTGTGGGCCCACCTGGCAAGCCTGGGCCTTCTGGCCACCCTGGCCGTCCAGGCCCTCCAGGCCCCCCAGGCCCCCCATCTGCAGGTAAGAGCTATACTGCTTCACTTGATCTACAGGGCCACCCTCCCTGCCAGCTGCCCTACAGAGGCACAAGGAGACACAGCAGAGCTCTGCCTGTGTCTTCAGTTAGAAACTACCAGAGGCACTTTACTCTGTTTACAATTTCTGTACAGTTTGGCTCATTCAGCTTTTACACAAGCAATACATAATGCCATAGAAAGAGTCCGTATTTATTTGCACTGCAGATAGGGAAGAATTTGTAGAAAGAAATCAAAAGTCTGTGGTTGAGGAGGGCATGGGTGCATTGCTACCTTTCTTGACCTTTTCAAATTTGATTAGCTCCATCCTTTATTTTGTTCCTTGCAAGGCCTTTCAGACAGCATCTCCAGGTCCAAAAACAACTGAACTGTGCAAGATTTTTTTCCCTTAGTTTATAAAAGGAATCAAAAATTTTTATTCCAACTTGTTTCTTTAAAAAGTGAAAACATTTTAAAATCCCACCACACACTTTTCCCCATGTTTCTTGGAATGTACTTGTAGCCACATTACAGGATAGACAAAAAATATATTTTGTTAGATTCTTTTCAAATTGAAGTTGGCTGTAAGACTCCAACCTGTCAGGATGCCAAGAACACTCAACCTTAGGCATTACTGACGTTCTCTCCACTTCTCCAACGGTGACAAAAGGAATGGGCAATGATCCTGGTGAATTATGGTAGAAAGATATCAAGAGAGGTCCCTCTAGCCCTTGATCTACCTTCACCTCTGGAGTGTCTGTTTTCTGAGTCTACATGGCCCATGGATGCCTGGTAACAGCCTCCCCATGCTGTCCTTGAATATCAGAACATGTGCAAGGCTAGGAATCCTGGTCTGTGTGGTTCAGGTTACCAAGGAGCACTCACAACCATTCTGTCTGAGTCTTTGTCTCTTCCCCAGGATACAAAGGCCCTATCTTCCCTGTGTCTGGAGAAATGCCTTCTCTTCCACACTCCACCTAGTTCCATGATGTTAAGGGACCTGGATTTGAGATGTGGCCCAGGCCATGTGCCCGTGCCCCATAATCTGCTTCTGAGTGGCCAGGTGACCTGGTTTGTCCTTTTACCTAGTCCTCATCCTCTTTGGTTCTGGCATGCAAAGTTTTCCCCAGAGTCCCATGACCATGAGCTGCCAACCCCAGAGACTGAAAAGTGTGGGTTTCAGGGTCATTGGCAAACTGAGAGCTTACCTGCCATTGTAAAGGCTGCCAACACCTGACTTGAATTCCCCTTCCCTCCTGGGGTCTAGGGTTAAATGAGAAGACGAAGCTTGGGCATCATCAGCAGTGACTCTGAAGCCCACTGTTTTGTCCCGTCAGTCATTAGTGTATTGCAACCCTTTCTCTTCAGCATGCCCAGCAGAGTCCAGTTTTCCCTCCCTCACCTTCTGGCTCCTTCTCTTCCAGCCCAATATGCTCACCTCTCTCTCCCTCCACCATCCCATCCTCTGCCAGATCCCAGCCTGACTGGCATCTGCCCTGCAGCAGACACCAAGTTCTCTGCCAAGCTGGAACATAATCTTTGGTCTCTGTGGGTCCACGTGACCTGACCTGGCTCACTTCTCACCCTCTACACATCCAAAACAATCCTCTGCTTCCTTCCAAGCCCTCTTTTTAATGAGGATATAAGGGCAGGTCACCCTCTCTTGAGCGCCATCACGCTGCCTTTCTGTCGGGGCCCTGCACTGGGCACTGTTTCCTGCAGATGTGTTTCATCCTCCTGCTCGGTGGTGTGTCCCTCGAGGGCAAGGTCTGTGGCTGAGTCAGCTTCACTTCCCCCCATGGCACCTGGCAATTGAGAGGAGCAGGGCTGGTCCCTGCAGGGGCTCACAGCCTGTCCCTGCTGGGTTACAGCCAGCGGCCATGCAGGATCAGGCTCCTCTCTTTGGACCCACGTCCCCTCCCTCTCTGCCTTCCTTTGAGTTACTTTCTTTCTGGAGAGCCTCCCAAAGAGAGGATGCCAAAGAGAGGAAAGAGGAAAACCGGGGCAATAATCTTGTTCTTTGTACAAGTTTGTGGGGTTTGCAGGTGGAGAGAGAGGAAGGGAGGAGTTTAAAAGAGACATCCCTGTGCCTGACACCAACTGGATAACCATCCAGTTCCCGAGGCCCCTGTAGGGTTCCTGAGGTTACCTTTGAGAGTCGGATTAAAAAAGAGTCCTGAACCCGCTCTCAGGAAGGAACCAAGCACCTGCACCCAGAACTCTGAAGCCCTTCCCCAAAGCCATCTTGCGACAGCCTGGAATTCCACTACCCACGTGTTAACCTCTCCTGGCCCAGTCCAGTCCTCCCTTTATGGATAAGAACCTTGAGCTTCGAGAGAAGTGACTTCTGCAAGATCCCAGAGCTGACTGGTGCCACCTGGTCCAAAGACTGTCTCCGAAGACTGTCGTGCTGGCCTCTGCCTTCTCCAGAGTGTCGAGGCTGAGGTGTGCAGTTCAGGTTGCTGTGGCCTTTAGGGAAGCCCGGCAGGAAGCAGGCAGGCATAACGGATGCCCTGTAACAAGCTGGGAGGAAGTGGCAGGGAAACTGCCACAGTGGCAGCAGGCTCCTTGCCACGTGCTGTCAGGAGGCTCCCTGGGGTTCTGATACCCAGAACCATGAGGCCAGATGGTGCTGGAGAGGTTGGAGAAGGTGGGAGCTCTTTAGCTACCCGAGTGTCAGGGAAAGAGAGCCTGGAGGTTGGGGAGGGAATAAAGGCAAAATGCCTTTGGGATGTGATTTACGATAATCAAGTTACAAATTTGGCTGAGTCCTTCCTGTACCCAGGCAGGGAATAAGTGAATCAGTATGGTACCTGGGAATTGCTAGCTTCCTGAAAGCATCAATATTCTAGGAGTTTGTCTTTTGGATGGCACATTATTAGGTCAAACATGAGTTTAAATCTCAGCCTCACCACTAATTACCTGGAAAACTGGAAAAATTCCTGGTTCTCCAAGGCCATGGATCTGGGGGAGTCATTGGGGCCACAGAGCCTTTCAGGAGGTTGCACCAATGCCACTCTCATGCCCCTGGTTGCAGAGCATTCCCACTTCATTTTCCCCAAGTGTTTAACTACCCAGAAGAGTCCTAGGCTAATGGAGTCTCTGTTTCTCTGGGCCCTTCTGGAAAAATCAGAACATAAGACTGGAGCTCTTTGCACAGAATTACACTCATATTTCCTGTTAGACCAGACAACCCTAAATTGACATAAGAAGCTGGCAGCCTCCACTCCCATGCTATCAGGATTCTAATCTTGAACAGATCTGCCAGCCAGCTCAGGGAGTTAGGGTCTTTCCACCAGCTGCTTCCTTGTGGTTCCAGCCAGACCGCTGGAGTCATTTTATTTCCTGCCTTTCTGGGGAATCTACACACTGAGTTCCGAGTTCCTGGCTGCCCCAGGTATTGTACTGCCTGAAACCAGTGACTGGCTGGTCTCCATTTCTCCCTTATTTTCCCATGAGGGGTACATATTCATTCCTTTTCAGTCCTATCTTGTCTTCTGTTTCCTCTCTGCCTGTTTGGTAAAGCTTGCTCGAGTGCTTTTCTGCCAGCCAGAGTGTGACTTCCTCTCCACTTAGTCTGCATTCATTCATTCATTCATCAAACATGCGCCATGCTCCAACTCTTTGTCAAGCCCTGGTGGATGAATATAGTCCCAGCCCCGCTGTCCGGGTGAAGCTTACTTTCTACGGGAGAAGATAGACCTTGATCGAGTAATCTCACGGTGGTGGATTAACTAATGGTCAGCATGGAACGCCCAGCTCAGCTGAGTCAGTGTGGCTCTGGGCGTGGAAGACCCACCTGAGGACTGTTGCCAAGGGCATAAAAGGAGAACTGGAGGGGAAGATTGTGTGCTATTGATTTTCTTGGAGAAGCTTGCTGAGGCTGGTTTTCCTGATACGAATCTGGCTGTTCTTGTCAGAGGCGCATGAGTCCTCGCTGCCAGAGATGGCTGCTGTTCTTCTCAGGCGAGCTCTGGTCTTCACCTTGAGTGTTGCTTCCTGGCTCCAGCGCAGATCCCTCAGCCTGGTGGCACAGACCCTTCACCCCACCAGCGCAAACTTTCTAGCTTCCACCATTGGCCTTCTGGCCTTCCCAGTGCAGACAGATCCTTCATATGCACTTGCATGAGACATTGCCATAGGCTCTAGGCCTCTGGCTGGACTCATGGAGGACACTGCCTTGGGCTCTAGGCCTTCAGCTGGACTTGTGTGGGACACTGTCATGGAATCCAGGCCCTCGGCTGGATTCTTCAGGTCTCTAGTATGTGGACAGATCTCTTGCACTCCTCTACATTTGACTTTTTGGGTGAATATTATGAAATACTCCTACAAATTATGTGTCCTGTATTAAATCTATTCCCTTGCAAACCCTGACTACAACACTCACATACATGGAATCACAGAGAGGAGTGCTATGAAGAATAGACATAAGGAACTAAGAAATTGAGGTGAACACAGTGGAGCGTGGGATTCAAAAAGGCTTCCCTGAGGAGGTGATGTTTGCAGCCAGATCAGGAGGGAGTTAGGTGGCACCTGGGGAACAGACGGATGGAGAATGGAGAGAGATGATCTGGTGAGGGAAAGGGGCTATGCAAATACCATTTCTCTGGACCCGCAGCCCTCAATGTCAGTGAACACTGGAAACACCTAGCTACCTAGGGCTGGGGTAGCTTGTGGTAGAGCACTCAATTAGCATGTACAAGGTCCTGGGTTAGGTCCCCAGCACCCACCCCTGACATACACACACAATTGTGGATGCCTAGATTCTATTCTTAGATGTCTGGATGAAACTGGCCTGAGATGAGGCCTGGGCAATGCAGCCTTTAAAAGCCAAAGTAAAGCCAGACACAGTGGTACATAGCCCTAGGTACTCCTGAGGCCAAGGCAGGAGGATCACTTGAGCCCAGGAGTTGGAGACCAACCTGGGCAACATAATGAAGCATTGTCTCAAAAAAGTAAAAAATAAACAAAAGTCGGGCTGGGGATTTAGCTCAGTGGTTCTGCCGCCTGCCTTGCAAGCGCAAGGTCCTGAGTTTGATCCCCGGTACCAAAATATAAATAAATAAATAAATAATAAACAAAAGTCAAGGTGAGAACTATTACCTAACAATTCTCCCACATTGCTAGAGAGTAAGATTCCTGATCATATCTTTTCAGGATGTGTTCTGTATCTCTTACTAGCTATTTCTCCCTTGTCAGCTCCACATCTTGGATCAAAATCATCTCTTTAGACTTCTCCCTCAGGCCTACCCTGAAATGCTATAGGCTTTAACCTTCTTTCTGTTGTACAGGTTGCTTATATCCCCCTGGACTGTTTGGTTTTCTCTTTCTTGGTTCTGGTAACACAGTGGTCTGTTGCTTTCTAGGACAACTTGTAATGGGACTCAAAGGGGAAAGAGGATTTCCCGGGCCTCCAGGAAGATGTCTCTGTGGACCCTCTATGAATGTGAATAACCCTTCCTACAGCGAATCTGTGTATGGACCCAGTTCCCCAAGAGTTCCTGTGGTGAGGCTTTTCTTGGCAAAATCTGGGTGGCTGTCCATGAGGACCTCTCAGGACTTCGGAAAAACTTTTTAGTAAAACTTACTTTCTCAGGCCGGGATTTAGCTCAGTGGTTTCGCCGCCTGCTGCATAAGCTCAAGGACCCGAGTTCAATCCCCGGTACCAAAAAAAAACCCTTACTTTCTCCCATTACACTGGGCACACACTCATTATAGGAAATTGTAACAAAGAAATCAAAAGAAGGAAATCAGATTGTCCATTTGGTTATGGGTTCACTCTTCAGTATTGCCTTTTTTTTTTAAGGATAACTCATATGGTTCAGATTATATTGTATAAAAATGTTGTCTTTTAGTTATCTCTACTGAAATCCCATCATGTTTCAATACTCTGTATATATTTTTCTGAAGTTTTTATGATAGAAAATTTCAAATAAATATAAAAGAACAAATAATGAAACAAATCCCAGACACACTTCACCCAACTTTAATAACGATTAACTCGCATCTAATCCCATTTCCCTCTTTTCTCTTTATGCCTACTGTGTACTGCCTGTCCTCCCTGGGATTATTCTGAAGTAAATTATGGACATCAATTCATTAGAAACATCATTTAAATGGATACACACTCATTCATCCATCATGTAGCTTTGCCATGGTTTATTTAACCAGTACCCTGTTGTTGGATATTTATATGACCTGTCCAAGCTTTCACTGATATAAATAATACTGTAATGAACATCTTTGAGTATGATCGTTTTATTAAGAATCATTGCCATTGTTTCTTGGCCTTTTGGCTAAGATCAAGAGAAGAATCATTTCCAGATGTCAAGTTACTTAACCATGTAAATCTTGGGAAGATCTAAGACATCTAAACATGTTAAATCATGGCAGGTATTTTAATTTTATACTCAGACATTAGGAACTGGATTGAGAAGGGGTGGGGATCAAGATGCTCCTCCCCATTCAGAAGGAATGATACACTGTACTATGAAACCTGTCTCCTCGCTGTGAACCAGCCCAGCACAGAGATTCTATTTGCTCCTCCATTTTACCCTACCCACCCCTTGGAGATGTGTTTTCTGGAATCCTCACCAGTGTGTTCTCTGACAGATTTTTGTGGTCAGCAACCAGGAGGAGCTTGAGAGGCTGAACACCCAAAACGCCCTTGCCTTCCGCAGAGACCAGAGATCTTTGTACTTCAAGGACAGTCTTGGTTGGCTCCCCATCCAGGTACCCCAAGGGAGGCCCCTTACAACAGCCCCTACTCCCACTGCTCCCACCCAGGAAAGGGATTCATGCAAAAAAGAACAGGCAGGCCCTTCCCACTCCATCAGTCGGGCCTGAACAGAGCAGCGGCACTCTGCCTCCATGGAAGGGCTGAGCATCCTCCTACTGACTCTTTCTGAGTAGCTGTCCGTGTCCCCATCCCCACATAGAAGCTCCCCTCTGAGCCAAGGTCCCCAGTGGTCTCTACGTCACTGCAGTGCGAGACGCTGTGTTCATCAGAACCAACATTCTGGCGAGCATAGAACTCTGAGCGGGTGATGGGAAAGAAGCACCTTTCTACCCCCAGGAGGAAGCTAAGGCATGCCCCCCCCCCCGGCTAAGTCCCTCAGGCCCAGAGCATCTGTCCCCAGTGCAGTGACCTCCCTGCCCTCCCGCTGCCCAGGCACGACGCCACCCAGGTTAACCTTGTGTGTCTCTTTGGCCAGTTGACCCCTTTCTACCCTGCGGATTACACCACAGACCAGCGTGGCACCTGTGGGGATGGGGTCCTGCAGCCAGGGGAGGAGTGTGACGACGGGAACCACGATGTGGGTGACAGCTGCATCAGTGAGTGAGGCCCGGCCTGGGAGGACCTGAGGCCTGAGCAGCCAGTGCTGCGGTCAGGGCACGCTCTGGACACCAGCTCAGGTGGTTTGGGGCCATGCTAGAGCCAGAGAGGGTGTGCCCCAGCTGCCCTGGTGACCTCCCTCCCCATTTCCAGCCAAAAATTAGCTCTTGCGCTGCCCGAGCGCACCAGCCAGTGAATGTCGAGGGTGTCGCCTCTCTGTGTCCAGAGAGGCCTGCCTTGCCCCTTTCCTTTTTCACAGCCCGGTTTTTTCCTTTTTTTCAGTACTGAGGATTAAACCCAGGGCCTTCGCATGGAGTTCAACCTCTAGCCATTTCTTATTCTTTATTTTGAGACAAGATCTCACTAAGGTGCTAAGTTGCTCAGGCTAGGCTTGAACTTGTGACCCTCCTGCCTCAGCCTCCATATCCTACTTCTTGACAAAACCCACTTTCCAAACTCAAAAGAAACGTAATGGGCTCTTGCCTTGCAGGACTGAAAGACAGCATGGGGAGGGGCTGCAAAAGAGAATCCAGACTCGCTCCCTGGGCCACACAGGACAGTTTGATTTTTTTTTTTTTAATCAAGTGACAAAAGCATGAGGTGAGGTAGAAAAGCATGGTTTTCCAAGTCAGAACGGAGTGTGAACATAGGCTGTGGTTGCCGCCAGGCTGAGAGGAAACCGCTTGCAGCCCTTAGTCTCAGTGTCCTCAGCTGTGAGAAGGACCTGGTGGTGCCGACCACTCAGGTCTTGCGAGATTCTGGTCATCTGCCCATGGTGAGGGCTCAAGAGGTGCTGGGTGAATCCACCTCTGACTTGGTTTCCCAGAGTCAGCACCGGCTTGTGACCTTGCCCTCGAGCAGCTCAGGGGAAGGTGGACAGAGCAGAGATGAGGCTGTGGCGGGCGCATGCAGTGGGGGAGTTGGGTACAGAGGGGCACAGGTGCTGCCCGCCGCGCTCAGTGGAGCTGCACTGTCCCCCAGTGACCCCTGGGATGCCAGGATGCCAACCCTTGGCTGCTGCCTTTGCCTGGGCTCCCTTCCCCTCCAGCCCGTGAGCAGACTCTCAAGTAGGAGCTCACAAGTAGGAAGGAACTAGTTAGGGTCTCTATGCCCTAAAAATGGGGGGGTAATCTTCCCTGGGTGAGAATAGGGGTCTTTGTGGAAGATCATGTCGGTCCCGGGGATACGGGCTGGGCCCACGACTGTTACCACCCTCTGGTGGCAGGCAGAAGTCACCATGCCCCTTGGCGCCAGATTCCCCAGGCTCCTACCTCTCACTTCGAAGGAACTCACAGCTGTCCTGTGAGGCCCGGACAGGATCCCTGTCCCACGTTCGCAGCCCCAGTCCCTGGCTAGTGAATGACGAGGTGGCTGGAGTCCCAGTCTCCTTACTCTTGTTTTGGTGGGAGACTTCAGGTCTGCAGAACAGACCCGGGGGTATCTGAAGCTTATACAGGTCAGTTCTCAAGGGGTGGGGTGCTCTGGGAAATCCTTTGGACTGCAAGGCTGAGGCAAGCCCGTGCCACCCTGCCCTTCTCCGAGTGCCCTTCCTTGTACTTCCCAGACTGTCATCGGGCCTACTGTGGAGACGGCCACCGGCATGAGGGTGTGGAGGACTGTGATGGCTCTGACTTTGGCTACCTGACATGCGAGACCTATCTACCTGGGTAAGGAGGGCATCGTGCAACGCTATGACTTCCATCCTTCGCTTCCTCTGCCCCTTTCCCTCCCAAATCTTTTTGAGTGTCTCTCACATTCCTGGTACTTTCTTTTTTTTGGTACCAGGGATCAAACTCAGAACCTTGCGCTTGGCGAGGCAGGCACGATGCCACTGAGCTAAATCCCCGGCGCCTTCCTGGTACTTTCTAGACACCAAGGTAGGGTGAAAAGTAACACAGCACATCATCCCTGCTCACGAAGAACTTTCTGCTCAATCCCTGTGTGTCCTCTCAATTGGAGCAGGTTCCCCTGAGGCTGAGCTGCGGCAGACACAGCTACCAGCTGTGTCCTGAGGAGCAGCAAAACTCCAAGTCAGCTAGCTGGTAATCCCAGTGGTTACTATGGCCACCTCTGTCTCCTGGCTGTGGTCTGGGAGGGAAGCCCCATGGAGGGGAGTGGTCAGAGCATTCCAAAGAATCTGTGTCTGCACAACCTCAATCCCTTGGAATGCCCTTCCCACCCCTCAGCCAGGCCTGTGGCCGTGAGTGAGATCAGAAGCACGAATATCCGAATATCCGGTTCTGCTGGCTCATGATCCTCCCGTGAAAATATTCCCTTCAAGGACTGACTCCTGTAGTTGTTTCTAAGAATCCTTAAGGGATTGTCACATTGCTCAGGACAAGCGTGCTAGTGTCCTCACCTCCCTGTTGACATCTCCCAAGCCATGGGCACTGGGCCCATGAGGTGCTGACTCCAAGTCTAGAATGTTGTCTTCTGGTATAAACAGGCTCTGTGTCCTCCTCACCCTCACAGAGCCAGGGTTGTAGAACATCCTAGGAAAAACAGGAAAACCACCACCTCCCACTCCATGTCCTGCTCTTCCCTGAGACTCCAAGCAGATCCGCTGGCCTCTTAGATCTCTAAGCCCTGTCAGGCTCTCAGCAGGGCTGGGGAACAGACACCAGGCCTGTCTCTGTCGCCTCCATTTTCTCTTCCAAGGCAATCTTCTCACCATCTGCCCTCCAAACCCAATATGAGCATACCCAACCCGGCTGGGGGAATTACACACCTGTAGTCACCAAGCCCCCAAGCCTGTGCAGGCTTGGCCCAGACCCCAGTTACACATGTGTGTCTGTGTGCACTGCCCCTCCCTGAGGTCCAGAAGGCTCCTAACAGCAACGGCCAGAGTCAGCAGGGCTGAGCTGCTTGATGGCTTCATGGAGGCGATTGAGTATAGACAGTTAGACACAAAGTACAGATTTCAGTAGGGCCCAGGGCTTATACACTGGCTCACTGTGATCAGTAAAGGCCCAGAAGCCTCGGAGAGATGCTTGTGAATGAGTGTATTGTGTATAAAACTCTGTCTCAGGATTATCATATGGGTTTACAGAGGTATAGAGTGCACTGTCCAATATGGCAGCCCTGCTAGATGTCATTATTCAAATTCAAAATGATTAGAGTTGAATTTTAGGGTCAGCCGTGCAGTCTCAGCAGCCATATTTCAAGTGCTCAATAGCCACATCTGGTCAGTGCCGCCATTTTGGGCTGCACAGATACACAACCTTTGTACCATCACACACACTCTCATGGGCAGTTCTGGTAACCCTTCAGGCCTTGAGAAGGGAGGATTGTCTCATAAATGCTGAGTTAAGAGCACAGCTAATGGCTCCTTCCATCCTAGTCCCTCAGTTTGGGCTCAAGGCAAAAATCCCCAGGGCCTGACTTAACTCCCCTGGGCTCCACACTCCAAAGGAGAATGAGGAAACTTCACAGAGCCCTTGGTCCTCAGTGAGATGGCAGCAATCGCTGCTGTTTGATGCAATCTGACAGTCACCAGAGGTGGCCTTTTAGAATGTGGCCTTGCCCTCAGAGCTAGGCACAAGCTCTCCTGCCTACTGCCCACGTCTTCCCTGACCCTCATCTTTGCTCCCTCAGGTCCTATGGAGACCTGCAGTGCACCCAGTACTGCTACATCGACTCCACACCCTGCCGCTACTTCACATGAGGATGTAAGGAGCAAGTAGTGTAACTGGCAGCCACTTCCCGCCTTCATCAAGCTGCCCTTGCATTTTCCTGGGTCAGTGTCCATCCACCAACCTTTGTGTGACAAAAAATGAGGACAAATTCTTGCTGCTAAAACATGCTCTTGACAGTCTGACTGGAAGAATTTAGGACTACTCTATCCTGTCTTAATCCAAAGTACCAGAAAACCTTCCACACGCCCACCCTAGGAACTAACTGTTCCCTATCTACCATCTGGCCAAATGTCCTTTTCTTCAGGAATGTCACTCGCACAGGCCGTGGACTGGCTTTACACTGTTACAGACACATCTTGAGGGCTGTTTTCATTTGCTCCAGTCTCACCAGAAAGTCTGGGGTATAGACTTCTCTGCCCGAGGAACCTCCAGACACGGCCATTCTCACCAGAGCAGCTCGCTCTCAGGGCTCTCCGGGCCTGAAGACCACAAAGCAGGGAAGTGGACACATTCTTCAGCATGCCTTACAGCTCCGGACCTGCTGAGGGACTTCAACTGGCCAGAGCCCTGCCAAGCCTCATGTGGATGCCGCTCCCCCAGGAAGAGACCCAACTGTGAAAAGTACTGAGAAAGCCACAAGACCCACGCTCACCCAGGTAGAGGATGGAGGCACTGCTGGCATGCATGCCGTGTGAACAATGGCAGAGCAGTGGCCACCCTCTCTTGACACTTAGCAAAGGGACAACTCTTGTAGTTTCCAAAACCCTGGCACCATCTTGACTTTACCGCTCTCTGTGCACTTTGACCGCTGTCTGGCAAGGTCAAAGTCTCACTGTGACCTCACGCCCACTTCCTGTTCAGAGGACTCACTCCACAAGCCCACACCAGGTGGGCATGGGTGTCTCCTTGTCCTTAGGGAGATGCGGTCTGGTTTTCACCGTTCAGGGCCCCACTGCTGAGCATATTCTCACAGAGACTGTTTCTGTCCTGAGCCCCATCTCCTTGCTACTTGCTGACTCCTGCCAGTGCCCTGTGACCCCTCTGTGTCTGTGTCTTACACACCCTTGTCCTCACAGCTGTGTGCCTGAGCTCTTCCCTTTCCTACAAATCATTAGTCTTGCACGTCTGTGAGCTGCCTTCCATCACTGCCTTTCCTGACTGAGGCTTGGCTTTATTTTGGAATGACATCTCCAGGATTTTCCCACTCTTTACCAGATGGGGGACCTCCACCCCACTCCTGGCTTTGTACAAAGCTATCCAATGAGCCTGAGTCTTGGGGACTCAGCAGGCAGAAGCTTCTGGTGCAGTGGCCCATCTAGGGTGACCTGCAGGTGAACCTTGTCTCTCAGAGGTCACATCAGCCTAAGGGTGGTGTCTTGAGAGGTAGGTCCATTGGTCAAACAGTTCCCTTGGCCTCTGGGCAACATCCTGGGGAGATGATGCTTCCATGCCACTTCCACCACCCTGCTGGGACTTCTGCATGGGAATCAAGAAATAAAGGCAGTTCCTCACTGGCTGTCTCTTCTTTGGGGACTTGGGGCCAGTAGTTCAGTGTTGCTGGACAGAGAGGAGACTGAATTCAGTTCTGCTTCCTAGGTTCTAGAATGTGAAAGCATTCCAACTCCCTCAGGAACAAAGGAAGGAAGGGAGATAAAGAGAGATACTTGCCCAGTCTTGCTAGCCTAGTCCTTCCCCTAACCTGGTGTTAAGACCTTGTTTAGTTTGGGATGGAGATCTCTTAGTACCCTTAGACATGGCCAAGAGGAGCCCACACCTTGAGGGGCAACACTCTGGTCCTCCTTGGGCCTGACCCTCCCCAAGGCTGAGCAGTCTGGGGCCAAGGTGAAACGCCTCCTGGGTTTGCACACCTCTCTCTTAGAGCATAACTCCAGGTCCCCAGAAAACCAGTTCCCCAGCCAAGATGTCCTGAGACTGCTTCCAAGGCCCACACAGCCCTCTTCCCCATGTCTGTCCTCGTGAGTGTAACCTGCGTGCATCTCTGAGCCTGAGGGGCAACCAGAGAAACACTGTCTAAGCAATACAGGAGGAGCTCGGACATAGCACAGGCACACATGAGGCCCCTCCCTGTGTGGGATGAGCCCAGGGGTTAAAAAAAGAAATGGGTCTGCTGCCACAGGGGATCTAAATCTTTGTGGGATCTAAATATGTCCTTACAGATGCCTGGCCCTCTGGTCTGTATGAAAGTGTATTTGTCGAGATAAGTAAATAGATCCTATTTAAAGAATAGCTTGTTAATGTGATTCTAACTTAAATAGGCATTTGGAAGGTAAGTGTCTGTCTGTGATCTTCCCTGGACCCCACCGTGTCGGAGGAGGGCCTGACTCTTGGCCCAGGACATGAAAGGGTTCACAGTTACATGCTTAGAGAATATACCCAATAACAGCAGCTCTGCCCCATCAGGGTTTCGAAGTGGAGAAGTGAGATCGGGGCGAGCAGGTGGCACTCCCACCCCTGCCTTCCTGAAGTGCTGACCCCTGGTGCGGGCAGCGTTTCCCCTGAACAGAGGCGGGGGCACTGCCTGGGCTAGGCAGGCGCAGAATAGACATCCAGGTGCTCACCTGTGCCAGGAAACTGCTTCCTGAGACAACGTCTGGCCGGCTGGAAGAGGAGGCGGTACGCTGTGAAGGGCAGAAGGTATAACTGGGAGTGCAGGTACCATGGTTCATCACTTCTCGGAGCCGAAAGAGACTTTACACAAGGACTGTACGTTCTTCCCACTCTAAGAGCTCACAGGTATGGGCTCTGCCCTCTGGCTCTGGTGGGTACTCCTTAGGAAGTGATGAGTTTCTGCAGCTGCTCCTGAGGCGATTCATAAGGAGTGGTAGAGAATATGACAGGGTTTCAGAGATGCAGCTAGTCACCGGTGAGGCTATGCCGGTCTAGATACCACCATGGGGTGATATGTGTTGGCTCACAGAACTTAAAAGCCCAGTAGTGGGTGGAGGTCAGGCATGGATCAATCAGGGGCCCGCTTCACTGCTCTGCTCTCAGGTCTATTTGCATCTCTCTCTTCTGTTAGTTTGATCCTTAGGGAGGTTATGAGCTGACCGATGCAGTTTCAAGTTTATATCTGTACCCCTACCCTGCAATATCCAGAGGAAGAGAGACTATCTATTCCATTGGCTCTCAAGAAATTCTTTTCCAGAAGCTCCTCAGTGAATCTTGGCTTTTTTTGATCACATGTCTATTCCAGAATTGGCAGAGGAATAGTATCTGTGGATTGAATTAAAGCTGGTTATAATATTACTCCTAGTCTATCCCTTGGGGACTCTCAGAAGCACAGAGACTTCGTGGGGAAGAAGAGGTTGCTGGCCTGAGCCCTGAGGAGCAGGAGTGGGGGGTGGCCGCTAAGCACACACGGTATCCATCACAGTAACTGCCTCTGGCTTGGCTTCTCCTCTTGGCAGAAGTAGGTGCTGAGCAACATGAGGTAAACATCTAAGAAGACTGCTCACATCAGAAAGTTCTTGATTCTGAAAGGTCCACTCAAGAGAGGCTGATTTTCACAGGGTTCTGTAGGTCAAGAAAAATATGGTATAGTTTGTGAAAAAAGCAGAATATGGTACTGGATTCCCACTTCTGGATTTGAAGCCCAGCTCCCTTACTAATTCAGTGTTTAATTGTCCTACATAATTTATTTAAATTCTCTGGGTCTCTGCTTTCTCATCTATAAACTGGGAATAATGTTACCTTATTCCAAGGTTGTAGTGAATTTTAGTGACACTATGGTTAAAATTTTTGATGCCAAGAAACCATTTAGGATGTGCTGGATTTTATCTGAGTCATTGTAACTAGTAGCTCAGCCAAATCAGTTACTTCCTTGGAGAACCAGGGTTTTTTGGGGTTTTTTTGGTGCCGGGGATCGAACTTGGGACCTTGCGCTTGCGAGGCAGGTGCTGGAACCACTGAGCTAAATCCCCGGCCACCAGGGGCTTTTTCTTTCCTCTTTGAGAATGGTGACATGAGCTCACTTTCGACAATAGTTTGGATCACAATCCTCTTGCAAAGAAGTAAAAAGGAGCAGTGGCTCTCACACCCTCTACACATTTGCCCATGTGATGCTTGTCACCGGAGAGAAACATCCCCACAGACCAATGTGTAGTAAGGAGACCAAACAGCAAAGGAACAATGGACATCTATTTCATCAAGCCAAGAAGTCCAAGACTGCGTTGGGGTTTGGGAAAGGATAGAGTTTAGGAAGGATGTGAAGGCAACAGTGATACAGTAGGCTCAAAGCACATGAGGAGGGCTGGGGATTTAGCTCAGAGGTTCCAGCGCCTGTCTCTCAAGCACAAGGTCCTGAGTTCGATCCCCAGTACCAAAAACAAAAAACAAAGGGCATGAAGAGAGGGGCTGACATCAGACCTAGGATGTGAATCCTTGGAGACTTGCAGATGTAGAACGTTGTGCCTCCAAACCCCTATCAGAGGTTCTTCATCCAGGCTGGAAATTGAAACTACTCTGTGTCAGAGTGACTCTTGAGGCTCAGATCCTCCAGGCAAGAATAGAATTTTTCATTTTTACTCATAGGGTTTCAAACTGCAAAGTTTTAATAGCCTATAATTTTAGCCACAAAGTTTTGCAGAGATTTTTTTTCAGGTGATAAGAATAAAAATGTTAAGCTGCAGTGTCACTGGGAAGGAAACACTAGTTAAAGAAGTGATTATGATAGTTTACAACTGCAACGAAAACCACAAGGACTCAGGGCTGACTGACTTTCTCAGTCTGGGCTGATTTGTTTAGTGCTTTCCTTACTGAACTGGTTTGATGCTTTCACCAGTAACAGAAGCCCAAGCTCTGCTCAACTGACACCCAGGGACCCAGCAGAGGACTGAGATTCTCTTGGCCACCCCAGGACTCTCACTATCTGCCTACAAAGTTAAGTGACAAATGTGTAAATAAAGTAAGGTGTTTGCAGGAAGCTTGGTACCTAGTACTTGGGAACCATGTCTGAGAAAGTGATAGGGCAGAGTTTCTCAGTAGTTTTCTGGGACAAACAGTTCATCCATCACCCTAATATGGACTCAGAGAGCACATGGGGCCAAATTGCTGGAGTTATCTCCAAACGTATTGTAATTAATGAGCCAACGTCTGCCCCGGTGAGGCTTTCCTGGAATTGTCTGGCCTCATCCCTCCCCCATAATGGAGTGAGCCAATTTAAACTTTCAACGAAGCCGAGTTCTTCCCCTTGTGTGGTAACAATCAGCTCCTAGGTCCCCACTTGGCCCTTCACTAAAGAGACTGTTACATTCAGCTCACCTTTGCCACTTGGGTCTTGAGGTTCCAAGAGCATGGTTTTTTCTCCTGCACTTTCTTTTGTAATCATTCGGAGAGTTTCAAGTCAGGTAAGAGTGATGGAATAAGCCCCCACCACCACCACCTCAGAAACAGAGAAGAAAGGTCACATTGCCTCCATCTGAGGGGCTTGCTTTCTGGGGTCTTCCCTGACTTCGTTTCAGTATCAGACAATTCTCCAAAAAACCCCACAATCTTCTTAAAGCAAGAAGTTAGCTATTTCTCCTGCCCACCGCCACCCCCCACTTACTCCCTTTATAAAAATGAAAGGGGGCCACATAGGATACTAATATCTTCCCACAGAAACACTAGTTTCTCAAGACAATTTCAGTCGGAGTTATTGTGGTCCCTGTAATTTCTTCCAGGATTTAGTCTTTGGTGTTCCATAAATAGTACCATACTCCACCACCCTGCCCCAGGCTATGTCCAGACCTTCCTCACCTGGAATGATGTGATGAAGGCAGTCATCACAACAGGTCATCACTTGAGGCTCATTAAGGGGGACTGTTCTATCCTGGGGCAATGGTACTCAAGCTTTAGGGTTAATCAGAATCTCCTGGAGGGCTTGTCCTTTCTCTGGCCTTCACCCCAGGGCTTTTTGTTCCCAGTAGATCTGATGTGGGCCTAGCAATTTGTATTTCTGATTCCCCCAAAATGCTCATACTGCTGGATCCAGGACCACATTTTAAGAGCCACTGCTATGGGGGAGATGGCTCATCTGAGAATAGTGACAGATTTGACAGAAAGAACATAAGTGGGGCTTTGGGTGGCTTTTGATAGCCTTCCATTAGGGCAATGGAATCTATCCCAAGCCCTTGAATCTAGGTGGGCTTTTGATACATTTGGCCAATAGAATATTGTGGATGTGATTCCCAGTATGTGGCTTCCCAGGCTATGTCATAACAGGCAGTGCAGCTTCTCAGAACACTCATCCTAGAGAAGGCAGCCATCACGAAAGAAGGCCGACAACCCTGAGACAACCATGCTAGAGAGCCTGGGTCCATCAGCCCTGTGGCTGATGGTCCCAGATGAGCCTATTTCTAACCATCCACACCCAGGTGCCAGCATGTAAATGAAGCCAACTTGCACCCTTCGGTTTAGCTTATCTGCCAGCTGAGTGCCAGATTAGCTTCAGTTACAACCTTAAGGAGCAGTTGCCTCTCCAAGCTTGGTCCCAATTCCTAAACAACAGATTCCATGAGAAAAGATGGTTGTTTTAACCTGCTAAGTTTTGGAGTAGCTGGTTACTCAGCAATAGATAACTGCTTCTAGAAATAAGCGGGGAGGTGGGCCGGCGGGGGGGGGGGGGGGGTCCTCAAACTTCTGCACACACAGTAAGTAGAGGGAAGGGTCAAGCCAAGAGGAGCTCTATTGCTTGCATTTGGCGCCCTCTGCAGGAACCAGGAGTAGAAATCTGTCTTTCTAACTTCTGGGCAGCAAAAAATGCCAGAACTCTAAGTGACCTTAGAGATCATACTGCCCAGCCTTATCAACTATGGAGAAGACACACAGTGTGTAGATATAGCAGATTGACTGCATTAACAGCCTCAATTCTTCCCACCTCCTGATGTTCACACCCTTTCCAATGTACACTTGGAACTTATCCCATCAATAGGTGAAGTGTCTTTCCCTACTCATTAATTCTGAGCTTTGGTCTGAGCTTGCTTTAGGCAATGACATGTTAACAATTGTGACAGAAGCACTTGGTGTTTCCTCTCTCACCTCTGCCTTTGCCACGACAACATGTCTGGCCTGGATTCCTGGAGGATAAGACATGCGGAGCAAGGGCTGAGTTGTTCCAATCATGCTGGCCAACGCTGTCCCAGATCAGCTAACCTCTGACTGCCAGCCATACCAGACAGAATTTAGCTAAACCTAATCTAAATTGGCACTCTGCAGATCTCTGAGCAAAACAAATGTTTCTTGTTTTGAACCACTGAGGTGGTTTCATACAAACCGTAATAGTGGCAATGGTTAGTTGAAGATAAAACTCCCCTAGATGATGAATATACATCACCACTTTCCTACTGAGACGGTTCAGGTCTCACTGTTTCCACCTGAGAGCATGGGTACCATTTGCAGAAGTGGCAGAAGGTCCTGTAATTTTACTCAATCTAAATTTATTGAGCACCCGTTAGAGACACCAGAGAGAATTAAAAAGGAATGTGAGCACCGTCCACCTAGCTGTTTGCAGCCCAGCAGGGACTCAAGAGCTCATGTACACATTATGTAATGTTTAAATCAGATTAAACGTATTATGTTTTGGTACCGGGGATTGAACTCGGGTCCTTGAGCTTGCAAGGCAAGCGGCGGAAGCACTGAGCTAAATCCCCGGCCCCAGGTTAAACATATTTATCTCAATATTTATTATTTCTTTGTGGTGAAAATTTTCCAAATCCTTTCTTCTAGCTTTTTGAAGCATGTACATAGCTGTTACCTATACTGATTTCCATAATGGCTGCACTAACATTCCTGTGAGCATTGTGCAGAGGTCCTCCTTTCTCCACATCCTTTCCAGCATTTGTTTTGGTTTGGTTTTGTTGCAGTTACCGGGTTGAACCTAGGGCCTTCTGTACGCGAGGCAGGTGCTCTATCACTGAGTTGTGTCCCCCAGTCTTTTTTGTTTTGTTTTTGAGACGGAGTCTAGGTAAGTTTCCCAGGTTGTCCTTGAACTCATGATCCACCTGCTTCAGCCTCCTGAGTAGCTGAGATTCCAGGCATGTGCCACCTCACCCAGCTAACTTGTTATCTTTAATATGTCTGATGTAATAGCCATTCTTTCTGGCATGAGGTAGTTTCTATGGTTTTGATTTCTGTTTCCCTCATGATTAGTGAATGTGTTGGCCAGGTGTATGTCTTCCTTTGAGAAATGTCTATTTGTATCTATTGCCCATTTTAAAATCAGTTCTTGACTTTTTTTTTAGTCCCTTGTATATTCTGAATACAAACCCCTTGTCAGATGTATACATTGTAAATGTTTTCTCCCATTCTGTAAGCTGTCTCTGCACTGCTGATTGCTTCCTTTGCTTTCCAGAAGCTTTCACCTTTATGTACAGTAAGTCCCGAATTTATGAACATTCGAGTTGGGAACTTTCAC